TTATTTTTTCTTCTTTTTTTTTCTTTTTTTTTTTTTTTTTTGTTTAAACATTCCACAAGCTTGTCGAGGAAACTCAACCAGATATTCCACGATTCTCACGTGACAAACGACCGACCGTAATAAATAAAGCGTGGTTCTCGATTATCCGTGTATTCGCACGACACCGGAGGCGAATCTGATTCGTTCGTGACAATGAATCCCCGGTGTTTAGATGGAATCCGTGTAAATATTATATCGAAGGTAAGAGGCATAGAATAACGGGGAATCCAGGCCAGTCGGTGGTTGAATTTCGCCATGGTTATACACGGTGTAGGGTGAACCTGGGGTGGTACGAAAAAGGGGGGTACCATCCCGGTAACACGAGGTCGAGGCATCCGAAAAAGGATAATCCAGCATCCTCGAGAGGACCCCGCATGAAAAAGTTGTTTTGATCGTTTCGGGTTTCTAGGACGGTGACCGTGAATGAGGCTTTAGCCGGTATATACGATTCGAGGGGAGAGGGAGTTTGCAGGGAGAACCAGATGTCACTGAAAGAAACCCGGCCTATCCCGTTTCGTTCGCGCGTACGAGGAGAAGTGCTGGGGTGCGCGATTAAAAAACCCAAACTGTGCGAAGGGGGATAGGGAAAAAAACGTAGAATCGTGGATCCGTAGAAGCGGAGACAATTGGAACGGAAGAAAAATTTCTTTTGTTCGAAAACGAACCGATCCCCTCTCCATCACTGCGTCACTCTTCCGAGAAAAGAGTAACGAAGATTAATAATTTCCTACTCGGCGCCTTCTTTAACTAGCTTAAAGTCGCCGTGTCGACATCTGTTACATCCGTTCGAAAAAGAAATAAGAAGGAAAAGGAAACGGTACTACGGTTGTACGTGCGGCAGATATTACGTGGTACAATACGGAAGGGGTGGTTTGCTGGCTCAGGCAAAGATTCAAAGTCCCGGTGCAGTTTGGTGGAGGTGGCGGGAGGTGGATGGGAGTTTTGAAGGTTGGGGGCACCAGGTTGACCGTGGGGTGTCGGAAAGCGGGGGTGTAGGTCTAGGTTCAGGGGCGGCATTGCTCGGGTGGGCGTGCACTTTCAGTTTCAGGCTGCGCATGCCCGTTGCATACCCGTTCCTCTCTCTCTCTTCCTCTTTCTCTGCAGTCGTCGTTGTATTCCCTCATAAAGTTTCCAGCCACGTAAAATTCACCACCACCGACTATCGCGTACCGTTCTTGTGCGTGGAACGAGCGCACGTTTCTCGATGTAGCCTGGCGCCTCCGTTCTCGATCCTGTCTCGTCAGGGTCGAAAATTACAGAGAGTCGATCGTGGAACAAGTTCGAACCAGTACCCTTGACGATATTTTTCTCTCTCATTCTCTCTCCGGTTCACCCCGTTTCTCGGACTTGTCACGCACCCTCCCGCTCAAAGAGTAAACGCGCCCCTTTAGGATCTGTGAAATCGTGGATGCTTACGTAGTCGATTCGTAATGGAATGTAATTTCTTTTTTTCTTTTTACGTCACGTTTCTCGCGTCGGTGTCTCGTTTGTCGATGTCTCGGCGTTATGTCATCATCGTCGTCGAGGAGAGATCACCCAGGTTGTTCAATCACTGTTCGATACCCGAACGAGGTAACAAGTAGGATGTTGTAATTTATCCAAAAGAAACCACGATAGGTGGTTACGTGATTTTTTCCCAATAACAACGACCCGAAAGGACAGGTTCGTTTCTCTGCCGTGTACGATCAACCACGCCTTATCGCGAATAAATACGGCGAGAAGATCGAGGCGACTCTCGACTCGAATTCTCGATGTATCTCTGAATATCAATCAGTTAAGCGACGTAATTAATTTCATTCCGCGATATAAATTGCCTCGTACGAGCAATTACTTTCTCGTTAGTAGGTACAATCTGTAAACGTTCCACGAAGGACCTTGTTCCCCGAGTTTACCAGGAAAATTTCGTTACGAAAGGTGCAATTTACAATGTGAATTCGCATTGTGCAACACGAGGAGAACGATGCATGTGTAACGCGATTTGTAATCTCGTTGA